CGTATTTTCTCCGTAGTAGCTTACACCAATAGAAGCCACATAAACTTAAAATTTCATTCATTATATTATACATGCCTTGGATCATTACAATATTACTTTAATAGTTTTCATCATAAACAGATCAAATATTGTATACACACCAAACTCAACTGTTCTGTAAAGGGTTAGTGGTATAGTGTAGGGGCAGTCATAAATTATACAAGTTTCTCTTTACTAAAGTTCAATTCTTTCTATTGAAAGGTGTACAAAATGTACTGGATTCGACTGATACCCTGGACATCCTAACTATGTTTTGGTTCACACATTACCTGTCTGAACCAACTAACATTTTAACAGACCGCAATTTGACGCTAAAAATAATTTGAGAAAACATGACACAAAGATTTTCTCATGGTATACTTATTCATAGGATGTAATGGCCCTGAAAAGTGCAGTTCGAAAAAAAAAAATTGTGTTTCTGGTAACCTGACCTGTTATTTTTCGGCAAAATTGGAATGTTTTTTTTTTTTTTGCTCATATCCCTACTTTTTTGAACCAAAAAGTATTTTTTCCCCCAAAATTTTCTCCAATTTGCTGTATTTAAAGAGTTATCCATTTATTTTGCATTGTGGGAAAAAAAAAGAAAATGCGTTCTTCGTAGACTTCGCCGTCTAGATTGGGGGTGTCTAGAAACCTAATACAATGTGTCATGTGACTTTGCACATGGCCGTTAGTTTCTTAAAACCATATCTCATTTGTACTTATCATTTGTTCAAAAAATCTTAACTGTCACAAATACCATGAACACGAAGAGTTAACTGAAAGGCAGCGTCTTTTTTTTGTAACAAAAAACATGTCAATACAAGATTATGTGTGGAAGGTTAGATTTATAGAACGTACATGGCTGCTTTTTTTGTAATAATCATGTCGCACGTAAAATGCAAGAGACGTTTCAGTTCGCCAATTTCTTGTTTACTGATCTTGAACTTTTTGTCTGAAATGCAATGCAGACAGAGAACAAACATTATGAGTGTTTCGACCATCATCATTGTTTTTTCTCCACTTTTATCAGCGCAGGTTGTTTTTTTTTCAGACTAGAGGAGCTTTGTAATATCTGCCAAAACATCGCCACTAAAATTTTCCATGAGATCGCCCAGGACGGGTATCAGCCGAATCCGGTTTATTGAAGTGAAACAAGATTGATTATATAATTGTGTCTCACTTATTTACAGGTGTGGTAGCATTGTCCGCTATCTATTTAGTAATCGGATATGGTGCTTCATTCCTCTGTGCATTATTTGGTTTCCTGTATCCTGCCTACTGCAGGTAAGTTGATACCTGTGACAAGAGGATACCTCTGACATTTGTACTTATGTGAGTCCGGTGTGTCAACCTAATTTTTTTTATCCATGGCCTATGACCACTAACTTTAAGTTGATAGTGGCAGTACTTACTTGTTGTCGCGCCTCGCTGAGTTCAAAATGCTTAGAGGATCTCAAAAAGTGAGATATAAGCCTCAAGAATATTCAGGGTGTTAAGTTTACTTCAGTGTTAAAAAGAAATTAATTACTGGATTGCATACATGTTCACCTTGTGCATTGACATGTGATGTGTTACATAATTCACATTTCCATGGTTACTTGTACAAAATCTGTATTGAAAATTTAGTTTTTATGAGAACTTATTGACCATCCCCTTTAAATAATGCATAGATACCCTTGGTATGTATATACATACACACATTGTATATATAGTCAATTTTGCCAAGTTATGTTGACAGGTGTTTGGAATGTAGGGTACAATCAAACCTGAGGCCTGTCCAATATATGCAATGAATTTGATATGTGTAGTTTGGACCCA